GTTCCAGGTGGTGCTCGCGGAGTTGGTTGTTGATGCTCCTGCCCGTTTGTCCTATGTATTGTTTTCCACACCCCGAAGGAACAGAATAAACCTTCAGTTCTTCGCATGGGAGGAATTAGTTGGCATGCTTGACTGTGCATCCTTGAGGCTTCTCGCTCATGTTCACTTTCTGGCAAAGCTGCTTGAGGCGCAACCGGCAGGAAAACACCGCAGTGATGTTGTTTCTGAAAGCCATTGCTTTTAGTCAATGCGCTGAATTATGAGCGTATAGAATAACGGCAAACCGATCCCGTTTATTGCTTCTAGTTGTAGTGTTCTGCCGGTGACGACCAAGATGGAATCTCTGCAGGGTGGCTTTCAGAATATCCGATGAATAACAGGTCTTGACAAGACTCTGATTTTGTAAATGGAAGTTTCTTTCAGAAAGGTGAGGGCATGATTTTGTAAAAGAGGAGGAGAAAAGAGACTTGACAATGCCAAGTTTAACCGTTTTAGAATGGGCACTTGTGAAGGGTAACACCGGCTTATTTGTTATCTGTTGTAATTCCCTGCAACGCCCTGACGGAAGAAGGTGGAGACGAATTTCTAAGTATTGTAAACGCTCGGGCGAAGGACCTTCCTTTCTGAAAATAAGCCCTGACGAAAAGGAAGGGAAGTTTCTACAATTCTCTTGAGGAAATCCGAGCATTTCTGGATCGTCCACAAATCTAAAGACTTTGCACCTATCAGGTGTGGCTTCCAGTCGCTGTTTAATCGCCTTGTCCACAAACGACAGGCAAACTTCACTGAGAATCGGGGCTAAACAGGACCCTATGCAGACGCCTTTCTTTTGTCTGAAGATCTTCCCTTCATATTCTACCACAATGGATTGAAGGTAAATGGCTTTTAAGAGTACGAAACCTGTCGCTGACACACCGGATGAGTTCTGGAATTGAGAAATCCCCTGCTCGTAAATAACATCAGAAACGTAGTCTAGGAGTAATTATGGGTCTAAGCTATAGTCCATGTCTTCCATGTCAAGCGAAAACACGACAATTGGCGTGGAAGAGGAGTGTAGAGGTATGATGCGTAAAATCAATTCCATGTAGTTAGAAACCTTGAAGGGTTGCTAAAGGCAAACATCGGAAAGGTGCTTTTGCAGATAGAGGCCAACTGTTTTTTGCCAACAGCCCCTTCCGGAGATAATACTTCTAAACGGAATTCCTTCTTCGTGAGTCTTTGCAGAAAAGAAAACTGGTATGTACTGATTTGCAGGACGACCTATTGCTTCCTTCAGCTTTGGGAGGTTTACCCTGCAGCACAGATCTTTGGCCCTTGAACAAAACGAACCGGAAGGCCGCTTTTTTTGAGCATTAAAATTCTTCGCGAGGGCTGCTTCCACCTTACTTACAAATTTACCCTCTTCCGATCAACAAAAAGCCCCGTTTTGTCTGCTTAGAGTAACTCCAGTGTTTCTGACGAAGTTCTTCAACAGCAGCACGGATAGGAAGCTTACCCGGTCGAGGAGGTGGGTGGAAACAAACTGTCCAAATGGCTGAACCGAGAAAGTCTTTCCGCTGGTTGTCTGAGATGGAGGAAGCCACTTGATGGACAGAAGTTAATTGGTCCACCTTTGTGGTCGGAATGTCCGGAGCAAACCTGGGGCCTTTCGAGAATAGTTCCACAGTATCTGAGGAAAGGGGCTCTTCGCAAAGTAAAACTGGATGGTTGAACGTTGTCGCTTTGTTGTTGCGACTAGAAGCGTTCACACCTGCAACGACAATCTTACACGATGATTCAAGCTGTTTGGAAGCAGCTTCCCGGATAAACCGGAATGACGGATGTGAACGAAATACTGGTCCAAATATCTTCCCCATGTAGCTAGGAAGGACGGCTTCAGCGACCCTTAGCTCCTGTGATACTCCTTTTCTTTATAATTTCATTATGCGGTAGCTGAACGTCCAGTTGGAGCACCGAAATCCAAGCGCTGCTTCGACCCTGGGATGGGAAACATTTTTTCGGAGGCAAATGTCAAATGAATGGAGCCTTAGGCGAAGTAGAGACATTCTGGAGACAAAGCAGAAGGCTTCGAAGCCGTTCCGCTAAATTTAGCGGGGCGGTTACGCCGACGGCGACGCCTTTATACGCGGAAATGGGCGCCTAAAAGCTGCGCTTTAAAAGTATTTCAAGCCCACGCAGAAATGATGATGCGAAAAATATTGAACTGAAAGTGTTCCAAGGCTATCCAATAAATGGCGCCAGTGTGGTCTCTCGTCGTAAGCGTTCACAAGAGATCCTAACGCACTCGGTCACAGTCATTCGCAAACGTGCGAACCAGTCTTAATTCACGTACTTACACAACGCACACAAACCCATAAACACGCACACACTCCCACACGCACGCGCGCGCCAAAAATATATATAAAAAATTATTTTTCGTCACCCATCCGCACAAAACATTGCTTTGTTGGCATGACGGCTTCAAGAGCAACGAGACGAACTGCAGACGATATGTTTGTTCTGCTTATTCTGCGTGTCTATCTAATACAAATGATCGCTCCAAAGCTACATAACGTGTCAAGTAAATGAATACCCTCAGCAATTGCAAATATTTTGACTGACTGGTAGTGGAAGCCACTCGGGGACGACACATACTGAGGTCATCGACACACTTTCGAATTTTTTCCTACGTGCCTGTGCTGGCTGGGAAATGACCCAATGCCAATTACATGTAATAAGTGCCCTGGACCACTTTAATATCGCGGCTTGCAATACGGCACACATTGACGCAGTCGAAGTTTTTGTTAGATCGTAGCTTGTTAGATCGTAGCTTGGGGCTTCCTTTATTTGCGAAAATTTAGGAGGAATGAGAAGCAATTATGATTGTAAAGCGGATATTTATCTTTAATCTGGAGGATGCTCGGCCTTGGGGGGTGGCAACACTGGGCACGGACACTCGGTAATATTGGGGTACCTATAATCGGTGGCAGGTTAAGAGCCAGGGGAAGCTTTTCCCATCTCTTCCCACTTTAGTAGAGCGAGCGCTGGGGAGGAGGTCGCCTCCTCTCCAACTCCAAGCGGAAAGAGGTGGGAGGAGCTTCCCCTGGCTCACCACATTTTGTTCCTTCAGACAACACCTGTCTTCATACCACTGAAAGAAAGAAAAGAAAAAAGAAAGATAGTGAAAATTATATATTTCTTTGGTCAATATTCCAATCCGCGCGGAAGATGAGCATGTATACGTATACTCAAGAGCCATCGTTTACAGCAGGTTATGGTACTGATAGCTCAACTCGGAAACTTTGATGAAGAAGATGATATTTTTGTCTCAGAAAGGCTCTTTATGTAGCTCCGAAGGTTGATTAAGTTGGTGAAATGACGAACGGGGGAGAGAGATCGATATATGTGCGTCGATAGACAAACACAGACGACACAGCTTGCTCAAGTTTTTGCTAGCGCTTAAGTTTGAAGCAAAATATTTTGTACCGAACCTTTTTTTTTTTTCTTTTTTTTTTCAGGGTTTGCTTTAGAAAGGCTTCAAAGTTGTCCCAACAGCAGCAAGATAGAAACTCGCTTATATGTCTTCAACACTTCGCGAGTGAAGAGGCAAGGGAGCGATTAATTCGCGCTATTTTGTGGAATATTCTTTGCGCACTACATTACCCGAACATATTACTCTGCGGTCTATTCGCGTTCAGAACAAAGCTCATTTTTCCCGCTTTTGCGAAAGATTGAACAAAACGCCGCAGCAGCCAATTTTCTGGCCGCTTCGGGAAGTACGGGCAAACACTATTATGCTCTTGTCTTCATAACTGGGTTCTTTTTTTTTTTTTAGTCTGCTTGAGCCGTACTTACAAATAAAGTAATTCGAAAAAGCAGCAGGGGGTGTACATGTAAAAGAAAAGGGGAGAGGAAAGGGAGAGGAGAGTGAAACGCTCGCCTACCCTTGCAAGCTCCTGGTTGCTGCCAGGGCTCCTGGTATACAGCGCAGAAATGTTTGCTGACACTGGGGGAGCGCAGAAAAAAACATGAAAACATATTTGGTACACGCGAACTATCAAGGGCACAAACACTTCAAAGATGCAGGTACGAACCAAATGTCACTATGATATCGCAAATGAACAGCAGAGTTTATGGACTATATCTATGCTAGTAGTCATTCCCGCCTGTCCTTGCAGAGAAAAAAAAATCAAATCAGGTTGTCTGTAATGCATACGGCCAAACTTACGCGCTCAACGGTAAGACCACCACAATGGCACTGTCGATACGTCGGTGCAAACCGTGTATACATGGTTTGTATGTCACGTCATTAAACATTGCCGGTGGTCGATCCTACTTGAACTTGTGGAGGAAAATGAATTCGGTGAAGCGAAATGTATGCTGCATCAGCTACGCGCTCAGCAACAAGACCACCAGAATGGCAACTGGTGTGACGCCAGTGTAAACCATATATAGTTAGCTTGTAGGTTACGTCATCACTTATTCCTGTCGGCTGCTAATCCCAATTGTTCATACTGAGAGAAACAAATTAGGGAGCGCGAAATGTGTGCTGCGAAATGTGCGCCATGTATGCACGCCATGCATATATGGTTGCTCTGACGTAACATCAGCTGTTATCTTGGTGGCTTTTCTGCTGAGCGCGTACCTTCTGCAGCACACATTGCGCACCAATGCGTTCGCTTCGCTCGGCAAGAACAAGCAGGAATACTCACCCGGATGGTGAGATGACGTCACGTGCAAGCAATCTGAACGATTCACCGCATTCCAGGCCGTATAAAAACACAATAGAGGTATCTTTTTTTCGAGTGGAGAACTTGAAATGCAGCAGGCCAAAGCTCCTCTCAGCATCCAGCCGGCTGCCGGAATGACGAATGTTTCCCGCACACACACACGTGCACACGCCCCCCTCGGGCGGGTGAAGAAGCGTGCCGACACAGATGCTGCTCTGCTGGGGCCAAAAAAGATCTCCCCTCCTCCCGGAGTCGCTCCCTCTCCTCTTCCCCCTGGCGGGTCCCATCCTCTGTGTGCCGGGCCCAAGATCTCGGTCAGAGTCGGGCTCCTCGGCACGGAGCAGTCCTCGCTGCCTCCCCCTTCGAAGATCGCGTGAGTCCGCCGTCGCCGCTTCCTCCGGAGATGGGACGTTCTTCAGACTTGTCGCCGCTGACGCGTCCCACGACGGCGCGCTCGTGCTCCTCCGCAGCGACGATGGTCCTCGTGCTTGTGCTCGTGGTGCTCGTGCAAACGCCGCCGGCGTTGGCATTCAACGTGGACCTTCCGACTGCTCTAGTGCACACGGGGCCGGAGGGATCTATGTTTGGCTTCGCCGTTTCCCAGCACAGGGATCGCGGGTTCAGCTGGTGAGTATTGTCTCTAGCTTTGTTGAGCAGCCGAGTAAGCTGTATTCTGTGGGGTTCTTTTGTCAATATAGATTTTCGTGGTCTAAGAATATTCAATCATTTTTGTTTTGTCCTATTAAGGCTTATGTCAGAGGGGCACGCTGGTGGTAAAGTGACGTGGACCGAGAGTAGGTATATACATAGACGTACGACGGGGATAAAACTCAGAGCAGCAAAAATATGTGCTTTCTTGTCGGGACTAACCAGCTCCAGCTTCCTTAGAAGTGATGAAAACTGAGCCTGTCGGTAGTAATTCATTTTAAAATAAAGCGCGCGCGCACACAGACACGCAAAAAATAGAAAAAAAAAATAAGACACGTATGACACACGAGCGATTGCCTTTTCGAGGCCAGAAATCTTGTCAAATAATATACAGCCATTTACCATTTGTTATCGACAGGCGCGAGAGCTGCGAACGTGAGGAGTCGATGGTTTTCGGAGCTATCGGGCTATCATCGGAGCGTAAACAAATCTCAAACTAATAAGATTTGCGCTTAAATATCTTCCCAAAACTTTAATTGTACGTGCCATCCGCAGGTCAAACGTATTGTGGCGAAACCTCGTCATTGTCGCCACTTTCGTTCCAGGACGCAATATGTGATTACAACCGGGTCGTAACCACATATTGATTGTCTGTGGACGAGTCAGTTCATATTACTAGGCCGATTTGAGGGAAGGCAATCAAGTGCATCCGAAATCTCGGTTTTACGTTGCCCCCTCCGTAATAAGCCTCCGAGATTGCGGGCGCCTCGGCCAGCATTCGAGCCCGCCCACCGGGGATCCGTATGGGCCGGGCCTTCGTCTCGCAGCCACCGCGAGGCTGCCCTTTTATATTATTTTTAAATGCGGTGGTTTTACTATTAGCCGAATGAGTAAAGGTTGTTTCAGCCGTATTCCGTTAGAAGATTTTGTCTTTTTTGTTTTATTTTACGCTCAAGAACATTTACGTAACTAGCGCTGAAGATAAGAGGGTGTTATTTGATAACGGCGATAATATCTCTCGTAGGGTTACACATATCGTTAGTCTGAGATATATTGCACACTAAAGCCTGATATCATATAATAATGTGACGCGTGGCTTGAACATGTCCCAGGCAACAAGGAATGTGCGACACGTTTCATCTAACACAAATCTGATTTCTCACATGCGGGCTTTTTTCTAGACAGCGCGATATCGGGCATACCCGTGGCGGATTCTCATGGGCGAACTTTGGTAGAAGTGCACTATTTACAAACAAATTGTAGCTCGTTTTGGAGTGATGCTGATCCAAACAATGTAATTTGTCTGCCCCCCCCCCCCCCTCCCTCCCCTTTCCCCCCGCGTCCCAATATAGGATGCCGTGGGGGTGTTATATATGCATATATATAATGAGCAGACGTCCAACGCCTCCGCAGACTCATGACTTCTTGTAGCAGCGGGGACGTCGGGGCAAAGGCACGTTAGAGTAGATGCTGTTGCTTCCACGACGACAAATAAAACATTGTCGCTAGCAGCTCAGACAGCGAAAGCAGCTTCACAGGGAAGGCGTCGGCGACGTTGACAACCCGAGCCTATACTTTTACCGATGGCGGTCTCACCGTTACAGTTACATAATTCGGAGAGCGCCAACTCCTATTTTTTATGCTTTGCTTTTGTTTCCGCAATAATTGCTTCCCCGTCTACCGGGGCTCGAAATACCTTGCAGACGAATATTATACATTGCGCGATACTGTTAACGCGAAGAGAGCTTCGGTGCTTTTCCGCGTCTTATATGGAGGGGGTACTGGCGGGAATCCAATTTTACATCTTATGTCAGCACTCTCAATGAGCCCTTTACACCACACTAAAAGTTGTCAATACAGTGCAACCCACTTTCAACGATAATGAGAAACCCCGAAACTGCAATCGTTATAACCGATTATTGTTGTATCAGGACTAGAGACTGATCGTTTCTGGTCTAGAAAGTCTAGAAATTCATCGCTATAAGCAGTACATCGTTATATGTGCTGTTGTTATAAGTGGATTTTACGGTACAGACTTTTGATTAAAAAAAGAACGGATAGACCCCGTTTAAAATTGATAAAACTCGCGCTAATACTGTTACGCTGTGTATATTCTCGAAAACTCAACGGCTGAGGCAAATCCATACTTATCGAGTTGGGTCATCCGCCGGCTCCAGTTTTCATTAAATTGTGCGATTGAATGTGAACCGTTTTTATTTTGATGCACTCTCTCGCTTTCACTCGTTTGCCTAAAAGCTGTGAGCCTAAAACTCACCAATTCAAAATCGGTCCCCGTGGACCTTTTTGTTTATTTGTTAAAACCTTCAGTTACAGTAACCGTGATTGCGAATACAAAAAAAAAAGTTGGGCTAAACACTGATAAAAATCTATTACCTTAGTAATTTCTTTACTCCAGTTGATTATTGAATTAATTCATCGGCCGTATTGCTATCCAGGCATATCATATGAAAAGTTAGACAAAAGTGAGCAGTTCGCATTAAAACAACACGAAAACACGTATGGTTATTTTTTTCCAAATTCGACTCGGAGATGTCTCGCTGCTTTATAATTGTTATTGCCGCACTGTCAAAGCAGAAATTTGAATATTGATGTCGATGCCTCTGCGTCTTATGGTGGAACGGATCTTCGTGCGAATCGTTACCACGAAAGCAATCATTAGATAACATCCGGTGTCTATATGCCACAAATACATAAGCTATGTGAACGGTTGTTATTGTTTACTTTTGTGATTCACTCACGGGTAAATAGACAGGATGTTTGCGTTTCGGTGAGCGCGGCGGTCTCGGGAAGGAAACTTGCATCCTCTTGATTCACTTTATCATACCGAACTCAAAATGCAACATGGTAACTGGCAAAGAGACATAGAAACCCGAGAATGGATGACATGTGCAATCATTGCAACATGAATTGTTTGCCGTGGTGAATACGTCTTTATTGTATTCATTTAATATAAATGAAAAAATCCTGTCACCGACGCTTTCTCTGGTTGTGTCAAAACGTCCACCGCGCGCTCGCCTTACGTACCTAGCTACGAGATAAATTACGATTTACTTTCACGACTTGGATTCCAATATGCAATTACTTTTTGAAGTATAAAAACAATCTTCACTGCAATTTCATTCAGACTCAATCGTTTAAATCCGGTTTTCACTAAAATGCAACAAGTGTGGGATCCAAGACCTTCCTGAACTGAGGAGATTCAAAATCCTCCACAAAAATATTACGGGATATAGCTTTTAATTTTTCTCTAGCAACTTTTTGCTCAGATTTACTATAGTTCGGAACTATTCACTCAATCAAATTTATATAACGTTTTTATTTAGAAGGTGTAAGAGTGAATTTCTATTAATGACAGCAACTAGGATATAGTTTTTTGGTGATATCAAGGTCAATAAGATATATTAAATAGGTCACACAAAAGAATTTGTCAAAAATAAAAAAAAAATTTTAAATTTATTAAGCATATTAAATTATATTTCGATAGTCTAACGGACGAGTTTTGGTGCAGTTTTTTGAGGAGTAACAAACTAGCGAGTGGACAAACATGGGATTCACGACAAGTGGGTGACATGTCAGTTTTCCTCTCGGCCGCTTCAATATTCAGTACCCCCCCCAAAAAAAAAACAAAGCTTGTTATTTGAGCTTTCATTCATCTCAAAACTACCCCTACCACTTTTGTTCTTTTGCCAAAATAATAGACCGTGCCTTAATTGAGATTAAAACGTGTTTTCTGCCACCTGTAGGGAATCATATGTTTGACCGCTCGGCGCTCGCTATTTTTGACTTCTCAAACTACAGCACTAGGGTTCTTCTAACACTTCCGAAATAGATTTCCTTATACTTACTGAATTAAGAAAACTATTATATTTGAAAATAATGGTATTTAGTGTCAAACTCTGTTCCTTTGGTGATTGCCTGGGGCTGAGCGGGTTGGTTTGACATACTTCTGAAGGTTTCCATCTGAATGTAGAGAGAAAAGCAAAGGAGGGGAGAAAAAGAGACTCAAAAAGATATATTAATTAATGCGTGCCGACAAAAAATAAGATTTTCAGTTAATGGGTGAATGGTCCAGCAGTGTGTGTCATTTTTTTCACCCAACTTCATTCTTTCCTCTAAGTGCAGCTGGAATCCTTTGGCGATTTTCGGCAAAGTCTGGCAAGTATCTTACGTGTGACCGACCTACATAAGATATTTGAATAAAATTTATATCAGCAGCAAGTTCAAACTTAGTTCTCTTTATTTCACCCAAATTCAACACTATATGTGCGAATTAATATCGCATATATACATTTGAATGAGCAAATGTTTCAAAAATATCTAGCAAATAGGGATGATGTATCTGTAAACGTTGAATTAGCTATCCCTATCCAAAAAACAGTCCACTGATCAAATGGATCTACAATTATCTAAGGCGAATGTACAGGACATGTGTGAAAGCCTGGAAAGGTTTTCAAGGATATACAGGGTAGACTTTGACTCTAGAACAGTGTAAGAAAATTGAAAACTATTGAAATATAAGATGCTATAGTTATGCGATCACTTCATCAAAAAATAAATATTCGTCCTCAGCTAAAAAATTATAGACTTCAAACAATATTAAAAACTCCTTAATAAGAAGCGGAGACAATTTCGACAGACGAAGATATCGCGTTCTATGACTGCATTTGTAAATCACGATGAAATCCACCAAATCTGTGCAAAATAAAGAAAGTGAGAGACAAGTTCTTTAACGAAAACCTACGCGGCCTTATAAAAGCTAACCCGAAAATATTTAGAGTACAGTTAACCCCAAGCACACTTCCAATACGTTTCACTTTACTGATTCTTCGGGAGAGGAGCTGGATGCTGTTGACGTGTGTGAACGATTTTGCAATTACTTTAGTGAAATGTTTTCTAATAAGAACTTTCCCTTCCCGGTTCTTTTACCTGAAGATAGTATACTAACTCAAATGGTTCCA